CTGGGGTCGCACATCACGTAAAAGTCTGCCTTCTACTCCAAGGCCACAGTCTGAGTGTCACAAAATGTCTATCACGAGCTCTTTGGCGCCACTGTTAGCTCCTTGGAGGAGATCCTCAGCAGAACAGGTGGAGAAAGTTCTAAAATTCAGGCCCCTTATTTTGTTAATGTACAACCCACGGAACCTGCCCCAACCCTGGAGAATGGACTGAGAGGCGTACAGCACCCCAACCACCCTGTGACTACAGGAATTCGCATGTTCCATAACTATAGTGAAGGCTAACCAGTCCCCATGTCAGATGCAAATCCATTTCTTACCAGTGTTGCATGGTAGTGAGGGTGCTGAGTGATAGATTCTATTTTTATTGGAGTGGAAAATGAGTTTATGCCAATGTGTTTATTGATTACTTATATGCTAGAATTTTCCATTGACTTTGTCTATAGATGTCTAAACACACAAACAAGATTTCTGACGTTGAGTCAGTTCTTCATAAGGAGCCTGGTGGCAGAGAGGTTTTTTTTCACAAATTGTCAGCAGTTCGAAACCACCCACTACTGCTCGGGAGAAAGATGAGGCTTCCTGCGCTTATGAAGAGATTCACAGCATCAGAGGCCCACAGGGGCAGATCTACTCCATCCTCCAGGGGTCATGAAGGGTCACGTCATAGAGGACTACTGTGTGCTATTTCCCACCACTCTTGTGAGGTGTTTCCCTATTGCTTCCTTCGACTTCAAATAGTGATTGTTTCGTGTATTTTAGTGCTATTATCTGACAAAGAATTATTTTATTTGTGTCTTTTACTAGGGGGTTTGCATTTCAGTTACTATAACTCGATCTACTATGTTCCATTAATGTTTTTTTGTAAATTAAATGTGTCCAATAATATGCTCCACCCTTCAATATTGTTTTTTTTGCTCACATTTTACTTGATGTTTCTTTATGTGTCCTTTGATTTCTAACCTCTCTGTTATTTTTATCTAGTCTGGCTGTTTGTAAGTGATTTGCTGTTGGAATTAGTTTTCTGATCTAATTTTAAATACTTAATCATTTGGTTGGGTTAAAAATAAATAAATTACTCAAACTCATTTCCATTGAGGTGATTCTGTAATTCTTTATGAGAGTAGAAAGCCTCATCTTGCTCCTTCGGAATGGCTGGTGGTTTCAAACTGCTGACCTTGAGGTTAGCAGCCCAACACATAATCATAAGGGGGGGAAATGTATTTGTATTTATGGTTAAAACCAACAGTATTTGTATTTACAGTTATAACCAACAGTAAATGTAGCAATTTTTTAAAGAATCAAAATATGAATTCATTTCATTTCAAAGTAATCTGTGTGTGTGTGTGTGTGTATGGAATCGTTTTTTTCATTGTGTTTCCAGGCTCTTTTGAAACTCATATTAACCCCGTGGACTGGGAGGGGTACGAGCAGGCAAAGGCAGAAGAGCAAGATCTGACCCCGGAAAAGGGGGTCCAGAGACAAAGCACTTGGAATCCAGAACTGAGCTCTTTCCACAAGCTCATTCTTATTAAGTGTTGTAAAGAAGAAAAGGTAGGGGTTGTTAATGTAGTGAAATATGTGTAGCCAAAAACTTCCATTCTAACCACTTAAGTGTACAAGTCAGTGACAGTAATTATGTTTACTAAGTTACATAACCATCACCAATGTAGCCAAAAACTACCATTCTAACCACTTAAGTGTACAAGTCAGTGACAATAATTATGTTTACTAGGTTACATAACCATCACCAATACCCGTTTCCAAAAGATTCTCATTGGGCCAAAGATTTCCATTAGTACACCTTCAGCAATACCTCCTCATTCCTTCTTCCCCACAGACCCTGGTAGCCATTCATAAGTTTTCTCTGCATTTGCCTGTTATTAATATTTCATGGGAGTCAGACCACACCATATTTGTCCTCTCGTTTGTGACTTACTGCACATCACATAATGTTCTCCAGGTCCATCCACATTGTGGCTTGTAGCATGTCTCACAACTTCATGTCTCTCTATAGCTGCAAACAGTCTGCTGTATTCCCGTGCCACAGTTTTCCTTATGCATTAATCTGTTGATGGATTCTTGGGTTATTTCCACCCTCTGGCTCTTGTGAATAATGCCGCAGTGAGCTTTGGGGTACACCAAACGCAAGTTCACTACCATGGCGTCGGTCCCCACTCACGGAGAGCCCATCTATGGAATCCCTGCTCTCACGCCTTTGAGGAAATACTAGACCAGGTTCTCAGAGGCTGCATGTCTGCTCTAGTGGTTGGGCTGTGCTCTGTTGTTTTGGGTTTTGAGTAAAGGGCTGTGCTGTGCTTCTTTCTTCTAAAGCTGCGTGTGCCTTTTTACGACCCTCAAATAGGTTAGACTTAATTATTTAAACTGCACCAATGACCAAGTTGTTTTTGGAGGGTTTGGGGTTTTTTAAGTTAGGGCAATAGGGGAAGAAGATATGGGAGGTGCCTTTAAGAAATAGAATCTCAGAATGATTACTAGAGCAATGTTTTACCAAAAAAAATTAATTATGAAAGAAAAGGCTGGGGAACCATCATCCAGGAATCTGGATAGATATTGAATCCAAGGGAATTGAACAGAGGGTGTGTTGATGCCAATTCATTTTCTGCATATTTTTAATGGTTTGTGACAAAAATTCATTCATTCACATACGAAATTGTACATGCAATCAATACAGTAACCTGCTGTTAAAAAAGTAAGTGGAAATCCCTGTCTCTCTATATTAATTGTGGTTTGCTTTCTTTACAAGGGAAATTTTCAGACCTCCAGCTTTTTTTATGTCCAAAAACATTTCATGAGTGTGTTACCACTTTGGCACTAAAATAGAAGCTCCAGGTGCTTTGCCTATAGTCATTTATTATCATTGATTTGAGGACCTCTTAGAAAACAAACCAAACCAAAAAGAATGTTTTATGTTATCAAAATTGTTTTAAATAAAAACAATGAAATTCCACTCCTAGATATATGTTCAGAGAGCTTAAAAATTCCTGTACAGAATGACCCTCTCAGAAACCCACGGGTCAGTTCTATTCTGCCCTTTAGGGCCACCGTGAATGGGAAAGGACGCCGGGGCAGGGAATTGTGTGGGTCTTTTTTTTTTCTGCACCATGCTGCCCTTATACAACGCGCCCTAATTTAGAGGGACACGCAAGAGAGCACCTTTTCCCAGGTGTCCACAGGAGAGTCTGATGCAAGTTCAAGATGCTTTTCTCTTCAACCCCCACTGAAACTGCACTGGGATTTGTGTAGACAGGGCCGTGTTAACAGCTATTTACCGTTGTGTGGAATGTGAACCGCGCACCTCTCGGGGAGCCATTCGCAGGATGGACATAGTAGGCTTCTATGTTTATGACACTTTTTGACAACAAAACACTTTGAGGACGGGATGCCTCACACCAAGGCTCCATGCAGGGGCAGACGAGGGGTAAAGACTGAGAAGGCCTACAAAAGGCGGACTGGGGTCGGAGGCTAGAATGAAGGCAGCGAAGGAAACGCGTCCGTGTAAGGAAAGGCCAAGCGTGATCCTGACCATCAGGCCTGGCTGATTTCTAAGAGAAGTCAAGGGGAGCCCTTGGGTGGGTGAGAGATGACATAGGAAGTTGAGTTCCTATATGAAGGAGGGCAAAGAAAGGAGACAGTTGCTTGATGGGGACGGCAATCAAGGGAAGGTCCGGCTATTTTGTTTTATTGGGGGCCATTTCCCCCTGGAGAGCTGGAGAGAGTAGCACCTAACTGAATGTGAAAGCAGGATAGAGGGAGAGAATGTTAATGCAGAAAGAGACAATGGGACACTTGAAGTAAAGCCTAAGAGGAGGCAAGAGAGTGCAGACGAGGCGGGTGATGGGTGAGATGGGGAAGATGGCCCGTGTGAAGACAGTCGGAACGCTGAGGGACTTTTACGCTCATCCAGCGGTTCGTCTTACTCTGTGAAGTCAGGGCTGCCAGCAAACGGTCAGTTTGCAAATTCACAAAGTTGTCAGGAGGAGGAACTAGGAAGGAGCTCCGTTGAAGTACCGGGTTATGCATCGAGCTGCTAACCCCAAGGTCAGCTGCTCCGACCCACCAGCTCTCCCAGGGGAGACAAACAATTCCGTCTAGTCTCATAACGATTTGAAGTCTCTGAAACCCAAAGGGGTTGCTCTACCCTGTCCTCTGGGGTCGCTGTGAATGGGAATCAACCCCACAGAGAGAATGAGTGTAGAAGCACAGGGCACCCCCTCTGAGGAGGAAGAATTAGAATTAAATTCTGAAGAATCCTCATCTAACATATTGTTTCATTCCTATGTTTATCTTCCCAACGTTCAGGTGGTTTTCGCTCTTACAGACTTCGTGATCGAAAATCTTGGAAAACGTTTCATAGAGACGCCGCCTGTGGATCTGGCTACTCTGTATCAAGACATGTCCTCCAACACTCCCCTGATATTCATCTTAAGCACCGGTTCCGATCCCATGGGCGCATTCCAGAGGTTTGCCCGAGAAAGTGGATTTTCAGAACGGTAAGGTCACATTGTACTAGGAACGAAAGTTGTCTTGTTAAAATATGCCTTTGTACTTTCCCCTGTCGAATGTGAATTCTACATTCAGGTACCCCTACAACGTAAGTTCAGATAAGTTAATATTTGGATATGTATGTTGTTACAATGAGATCTGAAAATCATACAAGCAGGTGTAAGTTTCATGAGAGGAAAAAGGCGGATTATTTAAAATGCTAAATTGCAATCATTTAGTGGAATTTCCTGACTCTAATGAACCTGTAAAATGACTATACTGTAGTTTATTCCCCGTACTCAAATTCAAAAAATTAACAATAATAACTTGTTATGTTCTATTGGTAACCTTATCTTTAAAAAAAATTTTTATTGTAAGTTGGGTGAAATTATACAGAACATCTCATCAGTTTGACACTCAATAATTTGTACATATTTTGTTCCACTCTTCCATTACAACCCTCCCAGGCTACCATCACTTAGCCCACTTCCTTTCTGGGTTGCCTGTTTCTATTCCTCCTTCTTTTCTAACCCTCGGGACTTTGTTGTTGGGGAAATGTGACCTGTCGAATCTTAAATGGTTGATGGTTTTGCCACAGAGATCGATTCCATTCCAGCCTTGCAGGGAAACTAAAGGTCATCGTCTCAGGGGCCTTACTTGTCTCTTTATGACCAGTAAGCCTGATCTCGCTTACAATTATGAGTCTTATTCCACATTTTCCTCCCACTCTCTCCAAATCTGTCTACTGTGATCCTTCTCAGAACAGTTGGTCGCAGTAGTTGGGCACCATTTAGTTCTTCTGGTCTCCAGAGACGGGTGTTTGTGTGACACATTAATCTGTTGGACTAATTGTTTCCAAGTGTCTTCCCGTGTTCTCTGCCCTTCTTTCCTCAGATAGGAGAGACTAGTCGTTACACCTGAGATGGCTGCTATGAGTTTTTAAGACCTCAGTCACTACTCACCCACAGAGAATACAGAACATTGTCTTTGTGAACCAGGTTATGCCAATAGACTTGGGTCCCCCCACCCACCCACCCCAGGACTGTGGACCTCATCTCCTAGGCCCAACAACTCATCCCATCAAGAAGTTTAGTTAGGTCTGAAGAGTATTCATAACTTTGCCTCCTGCATGTTCCACTGCGTGCATGGATATATTCACTGCAAAGATGGATAAACATACGAAGATCCTCTGTCAGATCTGTGGATGTGCTCGCACTTTGCTTCCCATACCTGTTCAGTTTGCAGGGCTCTCTAATTGTCTGCTTGTAGATCATCACTATTGCAGGATTATGTATGTGTCTCTGTTGCCTTTAACTCTTGCAAACCTCCCAATGTCTAGCCCTGCCCTCCATTTGTTACCTATCTTCCCCTTATTGTATATTATCTTCCTTTTCACCCAAGGTAATACCAGTCTACCCTCTAGCCTGCGACTTCCCCTCCCTGCCATCCCTGGTAAGCATCAAAGGTGTTTCTTCTAGTGTGAAAACCTTTTCTCGAGCATTTATAATAGTGGTCTTCTATAATATTATCCTTTGTACAATATTATCATACAATATTTATCTATTTGTGCCTTGGCTCTTATTTCTTTAGGCTATCTACCAACTCAAGAGCTTGCTGGGCCATGTGATAGTTCCAGCCCCCACTCGTAGAAGAAGCGCCACAGTCAGTATACCGTTCAGTCACAGCAGCAGTGTATGAGGGTCCCAGTCTCTCCACACCCTTGCTGGCATTGGTCTTCGGTTTTATTTGACCTTTGCTATTAATGCGGGGGCTGAGGTGGTATCTGACTCTTCTTTTGTATTAATTTCATCTTTCTTCTAAGTCTCCACTCCACTGAGTATTGAGGGGAGGGGGGAATTTAAACTTCTCCATTTACATAACTATATCTTCTTTTGATTTAAACTCTCCTTTAGTATAAGGTGATTTGGGGCTTTTTTTTTTTTTTTTCATAAAAACTCAGTCTTTGCATGATAGTGGGACAAGAGGAGAATCAATGGAAATAGAGGAAAGAGCTGGGAGGCAAAGGGTATTTATAGAGCTCTAGATAAAGACA